ATAGCAGTGCCTGCTTGTATGTGTGTCTGTGTGTGTCGGTGTGTGTGTGTGTGCGTCTGTCTGTGTGTGCCTGTGTGTGTCAGTGTGTGTGTGTGTGTGTCAGTGTGTGTTGCTGTGTGTGTGTGCGTGCGTGCGTGCGCGCGTGCGTGCGCGCGTGCGTGTGAGTGCGTGTGTTCGTCCGTTCGTTCGTTCTTTTGTGTGTGTGCGTGTGTGTGTGTGTGTTCGCTCGTTGGTTCGTTCATTCGTTCTTTCGTGCGCGTGGTAGAGACAACCCCCGTGTCCAGGGGGCGTTCGCGCGCAGCTCGCCAAAAGCGCAATTCGTAGTTTTGCAACCGCGGAGACGCCAGCGATTGGCATATGGGGCGCTGGCCTACGAAGACCCCCATCTTACAATGTGAAGATGTACCTCTGCTGTGCAGCGCGAACGTTATTTTAAGCACGCCTGTTGCACAGCTCGGCCACCGTTGGCTTTTTCCACGTCGCCAGCACCGAATACACCTTCAGCAGCTACAACATCGAATCTTATAGCATCCTCAGCAATTTGCTAAATGGGGGTCTCCGGGTGACGGAATGTCTCTTAACCTGGCAAGTGTGTCGGACGCGCTTCGGCATGCTCCAGCGCATTCTTTCGCTGCTACCGCGAATGTACATGAACCGCTCTGCGGCCACATCGAAGAAACCTTACAATCCGATCGTGCGGCAACCTGCTGACTTTTTGTTCCGCGCCGGCACTCCTTCTGCTTATGCCTTTCCTCTCTTCTTCCCTGTCGCCCCGCCTCGCCCCTCTTCCCTTCTCCACTCCCCCCCATGTTTTCTCCGCCCTAACCAATACCGAAATCTTACAACGACCTTGCAACAATCTTTCAAAAGGCATTCCGTCTAGGCTTGCCGACTCCGCCCGCGCGTCTTCCTTGCCTCAGCATTCCTCCGCGCGGCCGGCGCTGCCTGTACGCTTCAACACTAGACGTGTTGCAAGGGAGTTATATTTATCCTCACCTTCCTCCTCCTGGTCCTCTCTCCTGGTTTTGTCTTGCCGTTTTGTCCTTGTCGTTGTCGTCGTCGCTGTCGCCGTCGTTTCTTCCACGCCGCTTTTGGCATCACCGCGCGCGTCGCATAATATGGAGCCTCGGGCGCGGTTGGGGCACCCCGCGTTTTTCTGCTCAACAGTCGGGTCGTCGTCTTGGTCTCGGTCGTGCACGTCGTCCCCGTTCCCTTCCCCCTCTTGCTGTTCATCTCACTCGGTTCCCCCCCCTCGTCGTCGTCGTCGCCGCTTGCGTTCCGCCGCATGACGCTTCTGCGTCCCACCTCTTCAATGAAATTTGCCATGACCCAGTCCAGGTTGAGCTTATCACCCGCATATGGAATATGTATGTCCCCACGGCAGCGCAGCCATACCACTCAGTACATTCAACCGCTAGGTCCTTGCCAAGCGCAGTTGATTCTCTAGAAAGACAGTTTCGAGGGTTCAGGCATGACCGTTCTAAATTTGCGTTCCGTCGGTTATGTTCCCAGTCAAGCTGTAGGTTCTGCTCATGCGCAGTGACTGTCGTTGCGCGCGTCACATCTCAGCTTTTCGTGAGTCGTCCCACTTGCTTTTCTTCCCTTGTCTCCTCTCTTTCTTCTCGTTCCGCCCCTCCTCCCCCGTCTCCCTCCTTCCCCCCGACGCACCCCTGTGGCACCCCAGAGTTTGCTCCAAGCCTGCAGGGGTTTCCGCAGACATGGGCGGCATCGGCGACTATTATTTCTTCGAAAGCAGATTCCAAATTCAATCTCACACCAAATCTCAAAATGCACAGGCATGGCGGCGAGCGCGTAGTTGTCGGCTGCTGCATCGGTCTCTCTTGCACTTCTTCTCCGCTTCCCCCCTCCCCTCCGCTGCACTTTGAGCTTGAAGCGCTCGCGCACACATTGCCCTTGTTTCTTGCGGCTCAATCGGGACGATGGCGGCGTACTCCGTTCGATAGCCAACGAATTCAGAGTTCTGAACGGAAAAAAAGGGGGCTTGCGGGCCCCATGGTGGAGACAACCCCCGTGCCCAGGGGGGCGTTCGCGCGCAGCTCGCCGGAAGCGCAATTCGTAGTTCTGCAACCGCGGAGGGGGCCAGCGATTGGCAGATGGGGCGCTGGCCTGCGAAGACCCCATCTACCAGTGTGAAAACGTACCTCTGCTATACAGCGCAAGCGTTTTTTTTGCACTCCTATTGCGCAGATCGGCCGCCGTCGGCTTCTTCCACGTCGCTAGCACCAGCTACATTTTCGGAAGCGCGCGTGCGCGCGTGTGTGCGCGTGTGGGCGTGTGCGCGTGTGCGCGTGCGCGTGCGCGTGCGCGTGCGCGTGCGCGTGCGTGCATGCGTGCAGGTGCAGGTGCATGTGCATGTGCCTGTGCCTGTGCCTGTGCCTGTGCCTGTGCCTGTGCCTGTGCGTGTGCGTGTGCGTGTGCGTGTGCGTGTGCCTGTGCCTGTGCCTGTGCGCGTGCGCGTGCGCGTGCGCGTGCGCGTGCG